AAATTCCAATTCAAATTATCATAAGCTTTCATAATATAATGTTTGAAAATAATATTACCACCATTCACTTTAGCATTTATATCATGAATAATCTCTTGAGCAAGCAAAACATTATCAAAGATACTCCTGCCTTTAACAAAACCAATTTGATTAACATAAACAATTCTCGGCAAAATATCAACAAGCCTAGAAGCAATAATTTTAGAAATAAGTTTATTAAGAAAAGAGCACATGCTAATAGGACTAAAGTCATTCCAATTGTTAGCAGCATCCTTTTTAGGAATTAAAACAATATTTGTAGTAGCAAAATATTTTGGGTAAGCGCTACCTTCAAAGAAATCTTTAACCGCCTCTAACACATCCAACTTAATAATATTCCAGGACTTAACAAAAAATTTGGTAGTAAAGCCGTCAGGACCCGCAACAGAGTCAGAGTTCATGTTCTTAATGGTATTTCAAACTTCTTCCTTAGAAGGAATTTGAAGCAACATTTGATTATCACTATCATTAATACAATGAGGAATAATGAATGGGTCAAAAATAGGAATAGTGTTAACCTCTTTATTAAAAACCTGCTTGAAATGATCTACACCATACCTAATAATATCCTCCTCATTATCAAGAGTATCACCATTATCATTAACAATTTTAAAATTATGATTTCTCATGTTTCTCTTTTTAGCTAAAGCATGAAAAAACTTGGTATTTCTATCCTCTTCAGCAATCAATTTAGAAGCAGCCTTCTGTTTCCAATAAATTTACTCTTTATCTTGCAAAAAACCAAGCTTAATTTTAGCATTATTAAGAGCAGCAATATTGTCAAAAATTGGATTATCCATATAAATCTTTTCACAATCCATCACCTCTTTTTCAGCCTCCTTAATATTAGAAAAAATATTTTTAAAAATATTTTTATTCCACCACCTTAAAACTTGTTTTAATCTACCAAGTGTGGCCCAAAGCCTGGACATACCATAGATATCATTATTCGGAGCTAAAGTCTCATTCCAGTTATTATAAACAACATCACTGAAATACTTATGAGATAACCACATATTTTGAAATTTAAAAGCAGAAGGATGCTGAAGCTTAATAGAATCAATAATCAGAAGTAAAAAAGCATGATCAGAAGAAGTTCTACTTAAATATTCAACATGAGTCATAGGAAAATTAACCAGCTAATCATTATTAAATAAAATCCTATCCGGTCTTTGCCATAAATTAGCTCTACTCCAAGTAAAAGCATTACCAAAAAAGTCAATATCATGTAAATTGCAATCACTAATCATAGAATTGAAATCCTCCATAGAATGAATGTTAGGAGACTTACCCCATGTTCTCTCATTAGCATTGCAAATAGTATTAAAGTCCCCACCAACACACTACGATTTGGTAGAAACAGCAGCAAAAGAAGATAGTTGCTCCCAAAGAGTCAAACGGCCGTGTCTAATACAAGAAGCATAGACAAAAGAAGCATTGCAATTAAAGTTAAAATAAACAATGTTGACATTAACAACTTGATGGCAATCCTCTAAAATAGTTAAGTTAATATATAGCATTCTTCTAGGAAATTCAGATTTTGTTGGAACAATTGGCAAAAAATAAGGAAAAACCCAAACGATTAGAGTACTATCAATTTTCTCCCAAGTAATTAAAGGTTCAAGTAAAATCAAAACTTGAATATTGTGAATTCTACAAAGATTTTTTACTCTAGTAATGGAATCAGTCCCCCCAATACCTTTAATATTCCAAATGAGAGCATTAACCATTATAAATTTTTGAAGAAGTTTTAGTTCTAGTAGAATAAGGTGTCTGAGGTAAGGAGATTTTAATATTCTTACCCTTTTTTTTTACAACCTGTATAAATCCATCCTCCTCTTCTTTATTGGAGGAATTACCAACATCAATAGAGGACAAAGAATCTTCTTTTTCATCGCTAACCAAAACATCCGTCAATACCTCCTTTCCATCGTTGGGGATAAATTCTCCTTCTTCACAAAATTCATTATCACTACTATTAATCTCAACTAGAGGAGCATTAACAGGAGTAGGCACAATAAACTGATTACCTTTAGCATTATTATGCATTGAGTCAATATAAACATAAATATCAGGTTCCTTCTCAACAACATTCACTAGCACATTAGTATCATTACAAATATCATTAGCAACCAGGTTATTATTAACCTGCAAAACATGATTCACGAGCTCAGTATTCCCACCATTAGTTCCTGGAACATTAGGAACATCAATTCCAGTAATATCAATAGTCGAACCAGGTAAAGCAGCATCTAACAAATTCAGATTTATCTCAGGCACTTCAGTATTATTAACAAGTTTCCTTATAAATTAGGGTGTAGCTTAAAACATTCCGAAACCGCATGGTCATGAATTTTACAGTGAGTGCAAAAATCAGAAACCTTTTCAAACTCAACCTTTTGTAAATAACCGAACGCTTTTGAGCCCACCCGAAATTCCTTTGCATGCTTTTTGAGATGTCAACTTCAACAAGAACTCTCGCCACTGAAGTGCGGGTTCACGTTGCAGTAGCCTGGTCGGTTTGTAATGGACGACCAAAAATGGAACCAAGAGCATGCAAAACTTTTGAATTAAAAAAGTGTAAACGAAGACTAGGAAATGAAATCCAGATGTGAACTATCGGAGATTCCTCTTTTACATCAAAAAATGTAGTCCATTTAAGCACACGCATTTGGGAGTTGTTGATAAAATAAGCTCTCCTAGCAAAAACCCTACTATAGTCCAAATCATTAGAAAGTTGAATCGTAACATGTCGAGCATCCATCAAGCCAAAAAAAAAAAAAAAAACCTGACAATTTAAGGTTACCGAAAAAGTGACGAATCGAATCCAGGTTTGGTCTATGCAGACCAAACTTATCAACTAAAGTAAACTTAAAAGGAGAAGCCAATTTAAGCACATCTTCATCAGAAAGAAGGATGTCCGGAACACTATTAAAAACCGTTTGGTTTAAGATCAAAATATTATCACCTGACATCAGATTTACAGAAAGCACATCTTTGAAAGAGCGAGTAGGAGACATCCTCGCCTTCCGAGTTGAAAAGCCTCTGTTAAGACCATGAATCGGGCTATTCGCCTTTCCCCATGGATTGGAGCTTGAAGCCCCCGCCATCGAAGATGCCCAAACAGGGCACCAAAGAAAAAGAACCCACAAAACCAATAACTGGTCAAAAAACAAGCAGAAAATGTAAAGCTAGAGTAGAAAACAAGCATGGAGCGATGTTGGAGAGGCGAAAATCCTAAATCGCCCGAGACGGCACTAGGGAGACAGGAGCGCATTAAAGTCAATGATGGGGATATTTTTATAGTGTACTTATATGTGGATAACTTGATGTTCCCTAGAAGTAATCCAGGTATATTTAAGGAATTCAAGAAAGTGATGGCTAAAGAGTTTGAGATGATGGGCATTGGACAAATGACATACTATTTTGGTATTGAAGTTGAGCAAAAGAATGAAAACATCTTTATTTCTCAAGAAAGTCATGGAAAAGAAATACTCAAGAAATTCAATATGAATGATTGCTACCCCATAAGTACTCAGATGAAATATGGAGGCAAGTTATCAAAAAAGGAGAATAAAAAAATTATTAATCTGACATTTTTCAGGATCTTGGTTGGTAGCTTGAGCTACCAGAATTGCACTAGGCCATACGTCCTTTTTGTTGTTGGAATTGTTAGTCGTTATATGGAGGCATCAACTACTACTCACTCAAAAGCTGCCAAAAGGACTCTTTGGTACATCAAAAAAATGATCGACTTTATCTTATTTTATTCATCATCAAAGGATTTCAAGCTTGTTGGTATAATGATAGTGACTGGGTCTGAGACTTGGATGAGAGAAAAAAGCATTACATGGTTTCTGTTCTACTTAGGAGACACTATTTTTACTTGGATGTCAAAAAAGCAACCAATCGTTTCCTTTCTACTTGTGAAGTTGAAAATATTGTTGTAACATCATGTGTTTGTTATGTAATTTAGCTTCAAAATTTATTGGTTAAGATTGCCGCAAGAAAAGCCAATAAAGATTTGTGTCAATAACAAGTCATCTATCACTTTGGCCAAGAATACTATTTTTCATGATCGAAGTAAACACATCGACACATTCTATCACTTCATCAGAGATTGCATCACAAGAAAGGATGGGTAAATAATTCATGTGAAGACATCCTCTTACAATAGTGTTTTACAAGTGTAAATAATCAAAAAGTTTAAGAGTGAAATGAAAATATGTTTTACAAGTGTTCCTCTTCTCTGGTAGAATCCATCCTCTTACAATAGCTCCTCATTTTCCAACAAAGTTAATATGAATTTAGTCTTCAAAAGCATTTTATATGATCAGTGTTAAATTTATTCAAATAAAGATTTATTAATTTTTTACTCCAAGATTTCATTATTTATAAATCTTTCTATTTCATTATTTCTTTTTCTCCAAAGCAATCAATAATTAATAATTTAATATTTTAATGATATGACAAATTAATTACTTAAAATATTGCTAAATTCTTAATCATTTATTTTATTTAAATTTAATTAATTTAATAAATAAATAGAGGTCAATCGCTTGGGTAATGAGCGAATGGCTTTGATTACAAAAATATATATATTAAAATAGTTGATTCACAATCTTAAATTATTCGTCAAGTATGCCTATTTTAAAAATTTGTGCTACAACACATTAATTTGTGTTTTGAATATTCTTTAAAAAGAAATATGAAAATTGATAATTTGTGTTGTAATTATATGAAAATTTTAATTAAAATCTTCATTTTCCAATTGTAAGTCAACATGCTCAACCTCCATCTACCTCCTAGAACAGTTAAATTCATGAACGCTCACGAGCAATCTTCCCTTTTCACACTAAAGTCTCTATGTGGTGCCACAGTAAATAATTCAAACTCCATGGGGAACTCGTTACCTTTTCATCTATAAATGTCCATCTCCTGATAGATGAAAGAACAAATGATACACAGCAAGCCAAACCAAAAAATGCCAGTCAAGTCCTTCCTCTCCTTCCTTTCCCTCTCTCGTCCCTTCTTCAAGCTCCTCCTCACCAACTCCTTCCAGCATCGACAAAAACCCATCCAAAATTATTCAAAACACCCATCTGTATCCCCTATCCAAGAAAATGGCTTCCTCATCCTCCCATCCCAAACCCTAATAATTGATTTCGAGGGTTGGCTCCTACGATCTTCCTCCACGTTCCCATACTTCATTGTCGTGGCCTTTGAAGCCTGCAGTATCCTCAGAGCTCTCTTGCTTCTCATTATTTACCCATTGGTGTGTTGCCTGAACAGTGAAGCTGGCTTGAAGTTGATGGTGATGGTTTGCTTCTTTGGTTCAAGGAAGGAGAAGTTTAGGGTTGCAGGAGCAGTTTTGTCCAAGTTGTTTATGGAGAGTGTTGCTGAGGAAGGGTTTAAGGTGCTGATAAATGGAAGGAGGAGGGTAGGGGTGAGCAAGATGCCTAAGATTATGGTAGAAAGTTTCTTGAAAGAATATCTTCACATTGATGTAGTCATTGGGAGGGAGTTGAAGGAGTTCTGTGGGTTCTACACTGGTTTGATGGAGAGGGGGCAGGAGGAGGTGATGATTTCGAGTAATGGAGGTGAGATTTTAGGATTTGGATGTTATGGTGAAGACCATCACAATCTTTTTTCTTATTGCAAGGTAATATTTTTTAAAACTATTTATTTAGTCAGTTATTGGTTTATTTATTTGTTGGGGTATTTAAAATTATTGCTTATTAAAATGAACAAAGATCATGAGTCGGCAATTGATTATAGCGGGCTTTCGAGGAGAATCGCTCTTTAACATATTTATTTATTTTTCTTCATAAAACATTTTATTAATTTTTCGTCTGCCCATATGAATTTTACTGCTTTCAACATGATTTCAATACATTCAGCATGACACAGAAATATGTTGATGATTCATGCATGATATTTTGGTTTCTTTATTGCTCTTTTGATTTACCCGTTTACGATATAAAATCCTAAATATGTTAAAAAAGAATCTGCAATTACCCACATTTGGATTGTTACTAAAAACTATAAAGGCACTTTATTGATTACATTTGGAAGTTCCTAATAGGAAAATGAACGAAAAAAATTAAGTCGCCTGATTTGGGTGATAATAATTTAGTAAAATCCGCAGCATATCACGCATGTCATATAGACTTTGGACCAATATTACCAACTTTAATTCCCAAAAAAAATTACCAGCTTTAAATATATTTGTTTTTTAATTTTAAATATAAAAATATAAAAT